GCCGCCGTCGAGGCATGTAGAATCGAGCTAAAGAGTTGGACAGGCCAAATCACTACAAAGGAGCTGGGCACCGTCATGCGCTCTCTCGGCCAGAACCCCTCCGAGTCGGAGCTCCAGGACATGATCAACGAGGTCGACGCCGACAACAACGGCACCATCGACTTTCCCGGTAGGTGGACATGCGGAATCCTGCGTCACACAATACAGGCCCGCTGACTGTCCTCCAGAGTTCCTGACTATGATGGCCCGCAAGATGAAGGATACCGACTCCGAAGAGGAGATTCGCGAGGCTTTCAAGGTTGGCTACGACGGTGCTTTTCCGCTGCGATCGATGTTGACTCTGAATAGGTCTTTGACCGCGACAACAACGGCTTCATCTCCGCCGCCGAGTTGCGTCACGTCATGACCTCCATTGGTGAGAAGCTTACCGACGACGAGGTTGACGAGATGATTCGCGAGGCCGATCAGGACGGCGATGGACGCATTGACTGTGAGTGTCGATTGATTGGTATGCGTCATGGGCACTAACAGGCGGTGTAGACAACGAGTTCGTCCAGCTGATGATGCAGAAGTAAGGCGTCAGGTTGTTCGAGCAGCGGCGCCAGGCCTAGAACACTGGCGACGTGACGTTTTGTTTCTTGCGAGGAAAGACGTGGGTAGGCCTTCGGGTCTGGTTTGGTTGGGGGGAAAGTAATGCATCCCTTTTCGACGGCGCAAGTTTCCTTGCTCAAAGACCCAGCGGAAGGACGAGTTTGACATTCGGACGGATGGAGGACTCTATGATTACGTCTCATTACCAGCACGCTTGCCTGTCCCGTTCCTGCTCTCATGATGCTTTTATAACGAATATACACACCCCACAGACAGAGACACAAGACGTATTTCGATGAGACCGGGGTTGCACTTAGAAGGGGTTTCCTCTAGGACGACGAATGCAAAAGTAAAGTAGCACCATGCGGACCAAGCAGTATGTGAAATTGTTGCATGTCAGGTGTTGAGAAGTAGTTGTCGATCGTCTCGGGATGTCAAAGTACTCAAACAATGGTCGGGCAAGGGAATCACAGGCGTGAGATCAAGCCCAAAACCTCTTCAACAGAGCTAATCACATGTGCCTGACGCGGCAGACCGATCTGACTTGGCAGGGCTGCAGGCACTGCCTCGATTTGACCCTCATACCTAGGTAAGGCAGCTGAGAAGAAAGAAACAAGCGACGACGGGAGCTACTGGACCACACCGTGGCCGACTCGAATGGACATTGGCGGCTAAGGTGCCTGCTGAAAGGCCCGCGACAGTGCCCCTAAAACCCCTGAAGCTTACCGACCCGCTACGGGAATAATTTGCGCCTGACATATAGGGCCGCACTCTAACATCGGCTCCACTGACGTGACGCTGGGACCTGCCAGTGGCAGGCTGGAGACCTGCTGTACCTGCACCAGCACCGATACGTGCACCGTCGAGCCCGCCCGGACCTGACATCCTGGGCATGCCAATCTGGTCTATTCGTCAACAATCGAAAGTCTGCTGCAACTCGACCATTCCAACATCTCGACGCTGGTGACTCGCGAAACGAGAGCTCCCGACGAGCCTGCATCCTCGTCCATTTCACCCGTAGGCACGATCAGCCTGTTCCAGGCCCTACACGGGCCGCCCCTTGTTGCCCGACATGAGTTCCTGTACGAGAGTAGCCCCTGCCCCTCTATGCCGCTGGTCTGGAGCTGACATGCATTATACCACAGTGAAGCAATTCATCCGCAACGTTAGAGCCGCCAAGACTATTGCCGACGAACGAGCTGTCATCCAGAAGGAAAGCGCTTCTATTCGAGCAAGTTTCAGGGAAGAGAGTGGCGATCACAGCGTGAGGTGCGCATCCGCTCCGAGGCGCCCAACCCAAGGTATCGGGACCGTGGCTGACTGTCGAGTAACAGAAGGAACAATGTCGCCAAGCTCCTCTACCTCTTCACCCTCGGCGAGCGAACTCATTTCGGTCAGATTGAGTGTCTGAAGCTGCTGGCCTCTCCGCGATTCGCAGATAAGCGCCTGGGTCATTTGGCAACCAGTTTGCTACTTGACGAGAATCAGGAGGTGTTGACACTGGTCACAAACTCGCTCAAAAAGTATGGATGTGATGCCTTTGGTGGCTATACAGTCGTGAACTAACACGCTGCAGTGACCTCTCCCACTCGAACCAATATGTCGTCGGCCTGGCCCTCTGCACCCTCGGCAACATTGCATCTATCGAAATGTCCAGAGATCTATTCGCCGAAGTCGAGGCTTGTATTAACACGTCGAACCCCTATATTCGGAGGAAAGCCGCCCTTTGCGCCATGCGTATATGCCGGAAGGTCCCCGACCTCCAGGAGCACTTCGTCGACAAGGCCCACCAGCTCCTGTCCGACCGGAATCATGGTGTCTTGCTTTGCGGTCTGACTCTGGTCACCAGCTTGTGCGAGGCCGACGAGGAAGAAGGTGGGGAGGAAGGGATTGTCGAAAAGTTCAAGTCCTTCGTTCCGGGCCTTGTCAGGACTCTGAAGGGGTTGGCAACATCTGGTTATGCCCCCGAACACGACGTTACGGGCATCACCGACCCCTTCGTCCAAGTCAAGATTCTGCGCCTGCTGAGGGTGCTGGCTATGGGAGACGCGCAGGTCACCGAGCAAATCAACGATATTCTGGCCCAGGTTGCGACGAACACGGACTCGTCAAAGAATGTGGGAAATTCTATCCTGTACGAGGCTGTGCTCACGATTCTGGACATCGAGGCCGACTCTGGTTTGCGCGTCCTTGGAGTCAACATCCTGGGCAAGTTCTTGTCCAACCGCGATAACAACATCCGCTACGTCGCTCTCAATACTCTCATCAAGGTCGTGGCCATCGAGCCGAATGCCGTCCAGAGGCATCGCAACACGATTCTCGAGTGTTTGAGAGACCCCGATATCAGCATCAGGAGGCGCGCTTTAGAACTAAGCTTCACCCTTATTAACGAGAGCAACGTCCGGGTTCTTATCCGGGAGCTGCTCGCCTTCCTCGAGGTCGCCGACAACGAGTTTAAGCCCACAATGACCAGTCAAATAGGCATCGCTGCGGATAAGTTTGCACCCAACAAGCGCTGGCACGTCGATACTATGCTTCGGGTACTCACTCTCGCCGGTAACTACGTCAAGGAGCCCATCATGTCCTCCTTCATCCGATTAGTCGCCACCGCGCCCGAACTGCAGACGTACGCGGTTCAGAAGCTCTACACGAATCTGAAAAAGGACATCACCCAAGAGAGTTTGACGCAAGCCGGAGCATGGTGCATTGGCGAGTACGGGGACGCTCTGCTGAGAGGAGGTCAGTATGAGGAGGAGGAGCTCGTGCAGGAGGTGAAGGAGCATGAAATCATTGATCTCTTCTCGACCATCTTGAACAGCAACTACGCCACCCAGGTATCGACCGAGTATATCGTCACGGCCCTCATCAAGCTCACAACGAGACTGTCCGACTCGACGCAGATCGCAAGAGTTCGCCAGCTGTTGGAGATTCATCAAACGAGTTTGGACGTTGAGGTGCAGCAAAGAGCCGTGGAGTACAGCAACCTCTTTTCGTATGACCAGATCCGCAACGGCGTCTTGGAGAAGATGCCGCCTCCTCAGATCAAGGAGGAGTCGCGCGTGCTGGGCCCCGCAACGACCAAAAAGTCTGCAAAGGCTGCGAACAGGAGATCCCGCGTTGTCAAGCCCACTGAGCAGGATCTCCTATTCGATCTCATGGACACTCCTCTCACAACTACACCTGCTCCTGGCGGTGCCTCCAACACCGATCTGCTTGCCGACATTTTGGGCGGCACATCGTCACCTCCTACTTCCGCCTCTCCCCAGCCGCAACAATCCAATGTTGCGTCGATAATGGACCTTTTCTCTCCAGGCCCTGCTCAGCCAGCGGCCTCCCCTGCCCCCGTCGTAGGCGGCGGCTCAAATATGGACCTGATGTCCTCAATGGCTGCCGCAACCCCTCCACCCCAGCCGCAAGCTGCTCCGCAGGCACCGGCAGGTCTACCAGTCTACGACAACAATGGGCTCAACGTCAGCTTCCAGGTTCAGCGCAATGCCGAGGGTCTTGTCCAGGCCATTGCGCGGTTCCGAAACTCGGGTGCTGGTCCTTTGTCAAACGTGGGACTGCAAGCAGCCGTTCCTAAGACGCAGAAGCTGCAGCTCATGAGCATCTCCAGTACGGAGGTCGGCCCGGGTGCTGAGGCCACCCAGAAAATGATTGTCTCTGGGGCCAAGGGAGTAAGTCAAGTTCGTGGCCGATTGATACAGACAAAGCTAACTGTATGTAGCCATTGCGTTTACGCTTGAGGATTGGCTATGCGCACCCATCAGCCGGAGAAGTGATGGACCAGGTGAACTGGACCGAACCATCTTGAGGCGGCGGCCCACCAAGATCAAATGAGCATTGATGACTTGGGCTTGTGTATTTAATATGGCAAGGCAAGCGTGATCAAAATAGATGAATCTGCAACGATAAAAGTCGAGCAGCGTTCTTAGTACTGGTGCCTCGAAAGCATACCTATTGAGATGGTTTGTAGGTAGTTTGGGTTTGACGTTCAGGGCATTTTGCGGGGACTGAGCCTGACGGGCGTCCGACGTCCCAAAGCATTTAAGGTACAAAGCACCTGGCGGGAACACCAATTCTTACTCAGGGCTTCAACGGCCATTCCTCCACTGAAGCGTGCTCTCTGTTGCGATCAGGGTTACGATAATCTCGTCCTATATAATAGCACCGTTGACGCGCTTGTATAATTTGCCAACCTTTTACTGAAAGTCCCCGCAGCGAATCCTGGGAATTGTCATATTATGTAAGCGACGTATTTACGAAGCGTAGCCGACCTTACCCGACTTTGAAATTCCGATCCCCCGATAACAAAATCTTCCCGGATCAGCCACCTCGTCGCAACTCTACTCCTTCGGCGTAACTTGTATCCTTCTCCCCTCTAAAGAACCGCTCATACCTCCGTCACAATGCTGGCCGCCCGTACTTTCGCTGCGCCCATGAGGCGGCAGGTTCTGCGCGCTGCCCCTCGCGCCGCCGCCGTTTCCCAGTTCCAGGTACGCAGTTGATAGTCCCCGATCCCCCGATCTGGCCCCTCCAGCAGCTCCACGTACAACCCGCAGCGTCGAGCCGCAACATCACCATCTGACGGCTAGCACAGCGTTGGCTAACAAAAGAAGCAGAACTCCAGATTTTACAGCGAGAAGGTCGCCAAGTTCAACGGCGTCAAGGACTCTAACGTATGTACACCATCAAGCTCGTTCCCGTTCCAGATGCCCCACATGGTTTGCGCGCAATAGGAATATGTCGCTCTTGTTGTACACGTTGGACAGCTCAATTGGCGACGCCCAATCCGCAGTATTCCAGGTTTTTGAGGCACTAGCATGCTGATTTCGTCGCGCAGGGCAACTACCCGGTCAGCTTGATTGAGGGTGACGGAATCGGTCCCGAGATCTCCCAGGCCGTCAAGGACATCTTCGCCGCGGCAAAGGTACGTTTGGTCACAGCACTTGCGCCTCTTTTCTCAGCAGTAGACCTGGTACTGATCATTCAGAAAAGGCCCCCGTCACTTGGGAGCCTGTCGATGTCACTCCCATCCTCAAGGATGGCAAGACTGCCATCCCCGATGCCGCCATTGAGAGCATCAAGCGCAACAAGATCGCCCTGAAGGGTCCCCTCGCCGTATGTATATGCCTACCAAGCCAGGATCATCAGCCAGTTTTGCTCACCATTTCTCGCTGCAGACCCCCATTGGCAAGGGCCACGTCTCCCTCAACCTGACTCTCCGCCGCACCTTCAACCTCTTCGCCAACTTGCGTCCCTGCCGATCCGTCGCCGGCTACAAGACCCCCTACGACAACGTCGACACCGTCCTGATCCGCGAGAACACCGAGGGTGAATACTCTGGTATCGAGCATGTCGTTGTTGATGGTGTCGTCCAGTCCATCAAGCTCATCACCCGCGAGGCCTCCGAGCGCGTCCTCCGCTTTGCCTTCCAGCACGCCCGCGAGATTGGTCGCAAGAAGGTCCGCGTTGTTCACAAGGCCACCATCATGAAGATGTCCGACGGTCTCTTCCTCAAGACCGGTAACGAGGTCGCCAAGGACTTCCCCGATATCGAGTTCGATGCCGAGCTCCTCGACAACACCTGCCTGAAGATGACCACCGACCCTCTCCCCTACAACGACAAGGTCCTCGTCATGCCCAACCTGTACGGTGACATTCTGTCCGACATGTGCGCCGGTCTCATCGGCGGTCTCGGCCTCACCCCCTCCGGCAACATCGGCGACGAGTGCTCCATCTTCGAGGCTGTCCACGGCTCCGCCCCCGACATTGCCGGCAAGGGCTTGGCTAACCCCACTGCTCTCCTGCTCTCCTCCATGATGATGTTGCGTCACATGAGCCTCGGCGAGTACGCCGACAGAATCGAGAAGGCTGCTTTTGATACCCTCGCGGAAGGAAAGGCCCTCACTGGTGACCTGGGTGGCAAGGCCAAGACGGACGAGTTCGCTGGCGCCATCATTTCCAAGCTGTAAATACCTGCATCGGTGGATACCTGCATTTCCTGATAGAGATCCGGGATACCTGTAGTAGACTGTACATCAACGGATATTTTCTTGCGTTAGAGCCATAGTCGTAAATGAATGAATTGATGAATCCCGACAGAAGCTGACGGTGCGCTCTGTTGCCCGTCGTGACCCAGATCCATATGGGTAGGTGTGCAGGTACAGCTCGGTCTGGAAACGTAGTCAATCGGCGCAGCCAAATTCGGGAGAGAATCCTTCCGTTTCAGGCGACGACCGGCCGAATAAATGGCTTTACGGCACAAGGCCGACGACTACCTGCCAGATAACGGTAGGGGTTGCGGTAGCTTGTTGTCTACGGCGGTTCCTGGCTTTGCGGCCCACACGGGCCTGGGTGTGTGTGTGGGTGTGTGCGCGCGCGACGGCGTATGTCATCCAGTGTCCGACGTCGGGCCATCAAAGGGCGTCTCAACTCCAATATCTGCTAGAGTCCACAGCGTCACCAAATGCGTGGCCTCGGCCGATCAAGACTGTTTTGTGTCGTTTCAGGCCCTCACTCTCGTGAGTTCCGATCAGCCGCTAGAATGGAGGCAACCCGGAGTAAAGAATCGCACATTGAACGCACCGCAAGCGACCCGCGTGATTCAGTGAGAGATCATTTCCGTTCCCTCTACTATGTCCACCAAAGTCCTGCGCTGACGTCGATCAAAGCAAATCCATTCTGTGACTCTGGATCAAATCGGTCAAATTAATGATAACACGCGGCTGTTTCGCCTAGGGATCAGTGACGAGTCAAGCATCAAGGTACGCATCGTGCGGCAACAGAGCGCCAAATGCATCACATCCTTGGCACATGCTGAACCAACTCCAGTTTCTCCCTGGGCAATGGCTTGATACCTTCGTTCCCAACATCCCCAAACCTGGCGGCTTCACCATCACCAGCCCTCCCTCCAAAGCCAGTCTCCCAACCGCGTCATACCTCGAGCTTGCGGTGCAGAGATCAACAAACTCACCGGCCGCCTGGCTTTGGGAGGAGGCATCCATCGGAACTTTAATCAAGGTTCGCGTGGGCGGCGCCTTCGTCTGGCCCCCGCCCGATGTTGATCTCTCATCTGTTCGCCGAATTGTGTTTGTGGCCGGCGGCGTCGGCATCAACCCGTTGATGAGTATTTTAAGCCATTTATCTGAGAAAAATTGTCCATACGACATCCACTTCTTATACTCTGTGAAGGCACCTGATGACCTCGACTCTGAGAAGATTTTATTTGTGGAACGCCTGGCCACCATCTATGGACGAGGGAAGGTCAGCGGCCGTCTGCAGCTGTTTCTGACTGGCTTGAACAAGCCGGTTGACAGGAACGTCCTGTCGTGTAACGAGATGGACGTCGGCTTTCGGCCCCAGCGAATCACTCTGGAGGACATTTCTGCAGCTTTGGGACCAAAGGAGGATCACGGCTCGGCAATAGTGTATGTCTGCGGGGTGCCATCGATGACGGACGAATTCGTCCGTAAGCTCACTTCTTCTAGTGGGCTGGACCTCGGAAGCGATCGAGTGCTCTGCGAAAAGTGGTGGTGATTCATGTGTTTGCTTGCTTTGAGTGCACGCTTTGTTGTGCTACGAACAATTCCACACAGTCGATCGACTAGAGTAAATTCCGCCGCGTACCAATGACCTAATTTCATTACACATCAAGGCCATGGCAACCTTCACCTCCCAAGAAAATTCCGGTTGCACATCACCTGCTGCCTTTGACTAATGTTCCGCCAGGAACCCCTTATCGTATGATAAATGTGACATCGCCACCGCCTTGTCGTCTCTGTGATCAACAACTATATGAAATCATCGTTTTCCCCTCCCAGCGAGAACAAGGTCGTATGCAGAGTCGTTGGCGCGTTGGGTTCATTCAGATTCACCCTGCCTCGTTTGCGGCGCAGTGGTGATGGACTCCTGAACCATTCTCCCTCCGAAATGCTTATGTTGCTAAAGTTCTCAGTGGTCAACGAGCTTCCCTCACCAGGGGCGTCGACATCGAACCCCGAAGCACCTCGCTGACGTGTCGTTCCGACCAAGTATTCCTGCCGCCCAATGTGCTTGAATGCCTTGGAGCCGCCCGAGGAAGGGGGCGTTGTGTCGTAGTCAGAAGGTGACGGGGGTATCGTGGGAGGTGCGGGGAGCGGGCGCAGCGGCTGTTCCGTTCCGCCCGGTTCATTGGAGGCTTGAGGCAAGACAACTCGCCTAGCAACTCCAAGCTCAATCTCGTCGGCCCCGCTCGACTCATCGGCATATGTTTGGAGGGAAGGTGTGACGGAGGGAGCTCGTGATGACTCCAGGGAAGGTCTGCGGATAGGCACTTCAATGTCTGGTAAAGGTGGCAACGGTCTCGCAGGATCTGATACCTTCCTGATATCGCGAGATAGCTTGCTTGGCTGCGGCAGCTCCAGTCGAGCGGGTTTCGGGGGCATTAGCTTGGGTGGTGTAGGAAGCTTGAACGCTTTCTGGTCCCGCCTGTGGCTGCTCTGAGAGACGCCGCTTCCAAAAACAGAACCGTCGGCTGGGTCAAAGGTGAAATTGGTTGTCTCGCTGCTTCTTGCTGGCTCGGCTGGCACGTTGGGGGTGTCTGGCGGGGTTTCCTCTGTGGTTTCTTCAGTGAATCCCGATGATGCAATGAGCTCATTGCAAAGAGATTCTGGCACGAGATTCAATTCCTTCAAATGACACCAAGTACGGTAGAAGAAGCGGAACGTGGCGTATGGTATGTCCACGGCGTCGACAAGACGCCAGTCATAATAAGTCAAGTCTTGGGGCGTCTCAATGAGACCACCCGTAGGAGAGCTGCCACCCAACATGAACATCTTGAACTTGAGTTGCCCGAATAAAATGGGGAAACTTACGTGATTCCGTAGGCGTCCTGGTTTCTGAAATCGGCAAGCTCGGGGGACCTCCTCTTCCTTCCCTTTGAACGAAAGACCTGAAGCTCGACGAGGCCGCCGTCCATGGCGGCAGGCGTATCCTTGCCGGAATGAGGCGTGAAATGGAAGAATCTCTTCTCGACGCCTTCCCGCCTGTAAACCATCCCGCTTTCTCGGTATGTCCATTTATTGTCCGGCACGTACAAGGCGTGGCTGACAATCTCGATGGTGCCGGTCTGTGACTTGATGCCCCACGATGCCACTGGGCGACCGTTCATTACCAGCCTGAAATATAAGTACCTGGCGTCGGCGGGCGGTCTGTTGATTCCATAGCGGAGGTGGAACTGGGCACCTGGGGCGGACGGGATATATACCGTGCTCTGCGCTCGACACTTTTCAGGGGTGGCGTGCAAGCTCGAAGTTGGAGACGACGTTGGGCTGGTCAGCTTCAGTCCACGAAGGCTAACAGAAGACGCGTCTGGGTGAGGAAGTTCGGGTAGAGGAGGCTCGGTGGGATTGAGGACGACAGAGACGTCAATCCCACGAAGAGTTGGCATCTTCTCTGACGGGGAACGCGGCCAAGTAAGGCTGGTCAGTTCCCATGCACGCAGGTGGTGGTGGTGACGCGGGGTTGGGTTTTGGCAGGATTCTCACCATTGAAGAGGTGAGAACGTCAAAGCTATCTTTGGCAGGTACTACTGGCTACCTACCTAGGTCGGCAGACCCTCTGGGCCGCGCTCTCCTTAAGCAGCACCTACCCAGACATCGCTCGCCACCTACCAAAAAAGAATAGACAACTTGTTCGTCGTGCGTTACTCGGGGCGTTTCTATCCCTATTTCGTCCCGGGAATTCAAATGACTGCCTTACACTAAACCCAGCAATTCTTCGCTGCCGAGCGCCTCGATATTTCAAAACATGTGCGGACGGATTCAGACTGAATCCCTCTGTACTTTAACCATTTATCTGCCTCAAGGACATCCGTCCTATACAGATTTGAGCCAGAAGCCCGCCGCTGTTGTCGTCACTAAACCGTATCCGATGATGGTCCTTGGATGGTTGTGTCAGTTTCAAGAACAGTAGCATTCCCAGGTGCGTCGGCATTCTACTGTCACTCGTATACCCGGGTTTCCAACATCGCTAGTTATCGTCACGACGCAAGCCGATGACTTGAAAAGATCGGTGGTTTTTCATTGCTGCGTACAACTGCCACCTGTCCGGTTCGCGCCGTATACATTTCTTTCACTGTGTCGCAAAGCCACCCTTTCTGGTTCAACTCCCCGTCACGGCCTTGGTGTCATCCTCCTTGCCGATAAGTCCCAGATTGCGTATTTGACCGACACTCGGGGAATTGTCTCGTGCGCTGGCTGACTCGGCCTTTCGGTAGGCGGCCTGGAGTGCCCTCGTTCTCGCAGCCTGTTTAACTATGGTGAGCCCTTGGCTGCCCAATCGACGCCAGGTCCCTGGAAACCTACCTCCTTCTTGTGATGCAGACACTCGTAGTAGTCCTCCAGTGCCAGACCACACTTCTTCTTGCCGGAATGGTCCTCGCCAGTGGTGTTCACAACGTAGCAGCCGAGGAGCTCCTGCCAGAAGGGAAAGCACCGCGACGGGCCTATAACGATGATCCCGAGTCAGTAGCGCATCAAAATCTTCGGAACCGAGCACATGCCTCCGTGAAGACCGTATCCAGAGGCCATTATGATTTTGCAGACGCCAATTGGATGGTGGGTGAAGCTCAAGGTCGTCGGAAGGTCGCGGACTCGATCGCGATGTCGAAGTTCTGAAGTGGTGTCTAGCCGAAGAAGGCCGCCACCGCGGCTGCAAGGAAATCTCGTCCTATCAGAAGGTACCTGATTCCAACAGTGATTCCGGAGCCGCGGCGGGTTCACTCGGCTAGCGCGCGTCTAATTCTCCCCGTTTCGATCCCTGTAGACCCACTTGATTATGACGAAGCTAAGGGACCTTGTGCATGTCTGTTACTTTAGAGCTCTACCTGCGTCTCGACACTCGATACGCCGATAACTTGACCCAGCGTAACAAGATCCCCGCGATATCCAAATCTCTCGACCAATACTCCTCCACGGATATGGTCGAAACCCTG